GAGAAAATCAATTTTTTTGGTTAATTAACAACAAATAAATCCTTATATTATGTATGATTTAAATCAGAAATTATAGTAATAAGAATTGTTTTTCAAAATAATATTCCCGCAATATTTGTGCTATTGATTTGCTTTTTCATTCTTTTTAATTAACTAACATATAGCACATTAATTCTTACTATCTCACATATTATTATTGGGATAAAAATTTACTGACCTATACAACAAAAATCTGTACCTATAATATAAAAGAATTTAATGCAGATCACGATTTAATAATTTATTATAATTTAATAAACAAAAATTCAAATAAATATGTGAATATTACATAAAAATATGTTTGAGTTATAAATAATTAATTAAATTCTATTTATATGTAGATTTATTATTAAAAAAAATATACACACATACAAAATCAAAATACCTTAATATTCAATTAATATTGATAATAAAAATGAAAATATTGAAAATTTTCCATTTTATTCAATAAAAAAATTTCGACTTATCAATAATAAACGACCATCGAGCAAGGATATGAAATTTTTTATTAGTGTTCCTGTATGTAAATAAAATGAAATGAAAAAGGGACAACTGTACTATTGTATTGTATAGACATTAAAAATTGATATTTATTTAGGTATCCATTGACTAATTCATATTTTTTTTTGGGGTTAATCAAAAATCAAAGAGGGAAAAACAAAAATCTTTGCTGCTCTTTTTATGGACCAAAATAATGAAAGATAATAAAATTAACAAACAATAAAGTTAATCTATTGTAAATTTATCATAAAATAACGATAATAATAAAAAATATTCCTAAATAAATATTTATGTATTTTCAAAATTTGGGTAATATAAAAATTGGACGGTGGGAAATTTCTATTGGCACCCACAAATAATTTTGTAGGTGCTTTTTTTACAATAAATTTCCTTTAAATATGATTTTTTAACTTTAAAATCTTTTTTAAAATCTCGACATATTTTTCAATTATTGACGTTTTATTTAAAGAAATTTACGATTTTGGAGCTTCTAAAGAATTTTATTGTCATATACTACATCTTGGGGAATTTGCGGTACTATATGGCGAAATTCGGTGAGCAATAAAATATTGGTTATATTATGATTTATGAATTTTTCAAATGGAGTAAGAGATTCAGTATTTTTTTTTGAATAATTTCAGATCAAAGAAAGAGGAAACGAAAAAATATGAACAGATCCTTATATTTCGTTTTAAACTCCTGCTGCAGAATACTCTTATATCAGGTCTAAATTGCTTTTAAATAAATGTCCTTTTATAATAAATAAAATAAATTCCTCCATAAAATTGCAGAACAGATAAATGATGTAACGAAAGAAACCAGTTAAGACAAAAAAATTAAAATAAATTTTGTCCTCGAACTGGAGCCGAACCACATACCTGCCGCTTTCAAAGCGGATGCTCTAGGAACTGAGCTACAAATATCTTTTACAATTTAATAGTTTTAAATGAAATTTTTCACTTTCTTATGGTAGATTTCGTTTCGTTTTCATACGATTCATTTTTGAAAAATATTTAATTATCAAGGGCAAACGTGCACAATTTTTTTCGTTTTCGTTTGTTTTATTGCAGATACTTATATTTTACGTAGCATGTTGCAGCCAGTTAGTAAGTAAAAATGTTTTTTATGTAAAACGTTAACCGTTTTATTGTTTTAGTAACAAAAAAAGCAAAAAAAATTTCAAAGCTTAGTAAAATTGAAGTTTAAGTATAGCGACTAAGCAAACGTGTTAGCAATTAATTCATTACATTACAAAATTTTCAAGACCAAGTCTTCCGATAATCACTTTTCCTCGTTAAATTTTAGACTTTTCCTAATAGGTATTTCAATTTCAATAATTGTACTACCCTTGAAAATTGATATACTTCGTTCGTTATAATAAGATGCTCAGATTTTATTGGAACTTTTATAATGTGGAAAATTAAAATTTTTTTTTTTATTTCAATTTACTTATGCTCATCCTTTTTACAAATTTTAAATTTATTCTTTTGGGAAATGTTGAGAATTATTGTTTGCTTTTTGTTTTATTTTTGTTATATAAAAATGTCAATCATAAAAATTATTTTTTGCAAAAACAAAAACAGAATAAACAAAGGATATTTTAATTTAATATGAACAATTTTTTATTATAATTTTGCAGGTGAAAAACTTTTTTGATGCGGATTTGATCGATTTCATTATTTAAGAGGTCACTAAATAAAAATAACAGGAATAAGTATGGTAAAACTGTATCCTTTTCAGTATTTCTAAAATTTCATATTTTTTAGTTCATATTTTTTATTTTAGGAATTTTTTTCTAAGCAATTTTTAGGTTAAAATAGAAACAAAACTTCAATATCATTGGAATTAAAAATAATATTTTCTGATTGGGTCGAAATCAGAACAAAATTTTTAAAAGAAACGCCAATGTTATTATAATTACGCCTAAATTTAGGCAATAAAAAATTTATATAGAGTAGAAGTAAAAGTAATAGTTTTAGAAAGGGAAAGAGTGCGAGGCTGGCCCACCCACGCGAAGACCATGCAGCAGGACACCAACAAAACGCATCGGCAAACATCAAATTAACACTCCACGATTCCCATGTAATGAAATCTCAGAAAGCTAATTCAATTCTTGAAAATACCAATACGTACAGCGAACAATTCTAAATTAATTCAGAATTTTAATTTTATTTCTGAAAATTCTTTTACAGGAATAATTCTATTAAAATTTACAATTATTTTGTTAACGCATGTTAAAAAAAAAAAACAATATTCTTTTTTCCTTATGTAACTTAAATTTTTCTTACTTTGAAATTAAACACAGGAATCTTATGATTATTAACATTGTCTTTTTTCTAATTACCATCAGAGCATACGAGCATATGAACGCATCCTTTAAAATTTAAGAGAAACTATTTTCCATTTCATTTCCCATCAAAAATATACAAGAAACTACTCATTAATGAATTCAAAAATTTCGTCTTCCATTTAACTTATACTTTAAAATATTTTGCAAACGTTTAACAAATAAATTTCCTTAGGAGTTGTTCTTTGACAAAAAAAAAAAACAATTTCTTATTTCGTTTTCCAACATTTGAAGAATATTATAATGATGACAATCATGAAACCATGATTATATCCCTACTACAATAATTATTACTAACATAATAGTGTTATATAAATAACTAGTACAACTTCCGAGCAAGATGACGATATATGAACACAATAGTCTTTTATGCGTTACATAAGAAAACTAACAAGTGCAATAAGAATAAGTAAAACAAAATTGCAGACAAAAAGTTGTTTCCTCTCTCCTTAAAAATGGTATAGTCTTTAAGAGATTGAAAGAAAGATGAGAAAGAAATTTACACTTTAAAATGCTCTCTAATGATATAATGGGGTTTGTTGTTCTTATAAAAAGAGAGAGACTTAATTGTTTATTGTTGATAGTACTGAAAGAGTTAATACTTGTACCACCCGCCGCTAGGAGTACTTTTATATTATTTTTTAACATAGATTTTTTATAGTTTTACTTATAACACTTTGCTTTGTCGTTATTGTCATCATGATAATATTATTTTTAAAATACTTACATTTACGTAAATTATAAGATGGTTACAGTTAAAAAAGAAAAGTTCAAGTAAAGTCACCCTTATATAAAACTGATATAATATGGAAATATGAATAAGCGTATGTATATGTACATATAAGCGTATTCACAATGTGTAATGACTAATTTGTATTGTAAGATTCACATCGTTATAGCAGTTTATTTAGTATAGGGAAAATTTATTGGGGTGGATTTGTATTAGAAGAACATAAAAATTTTTTTCTTGCTGCTTTTTGCCTGATTACAAATTAAGTGTAAGCTCCACATGAAATTAGCTGAAACTTAAGAGTTAAATATTATTTCTCTCCTATGTGTTATATTTCTGCCAGCTGTTAACAATATCCACTACGTATTGTAATTTCCAACTTCAATAGAGTATAAAAGAATAATATGCTCAAGCACGGGGGAAATTTTAAGGTAAAGGGTGTACAAAATTGAATCTCGATGGTGTGTTGACTGTTGTAAATCGTTATCTTGTTAAACACACAACACTTTCAGATAATAAGAAAAATTGGACTGAATTTTACCTTTTTTAATAAATAAAATTTTAATTACAAAGGTAACATATTGTGAAAATAATTTTATATTTTCACAATATAAAAATATTTTAATAAATTTTTTTTTAAATTTTGTTTATCTTCTTTTTTTTTTTTTATGAATAATTTCCGTGGCATCCTTTAATGAATGACTAATTGATTCTGTCCTTTCCAGTATATTTTAAATTTTTAATTTATTAACTATCATTGTTATCCTTTTTATTACAATTTTCATCATCACATATACAAATTGAATGCATAAAAGATGATTGAAAACTTCATTAATAATTTTTATTTTAGTTTTAAAATTTTTCAAAAATTTATGAGTGCAATTGTTTGTTTTAAGAGCAGAATGTCAGGAAATTTTACAACAAAAAAAATTAATTTAAATATTTTTACAATTTTTTTTTTTCATATGATCATTTGTACTCGTATTCATGAGTTGCACGTTATTTATAAATAATTTATGTTTTTTATTGTAAAAAATTAAAAATATTTTTGTTTTAAATTTATTTTTTAAAATTAATTTTTATTTTGTTTAAGCAGAAACTTTAAATGAAATATTTAATTTCTTTTCACATAGACTTGTGGATCGACAGGGATCAATCTCAGACCAGACCAATGCAGCTATAAAAATTTATTGTAACATTCCACCGCTTATAAAACACTAGGTTATAATTCTCGCGCAATTATAGATTTGTTCAAGCGTCACCTCTCACAGGCCCAAGGGTTGCACCAAACATCCCCCAAATGAATAAATCGCTTCCTCGTGAATATCTTAACAAAGGACAGAACACGTTCTGCCATGTTATCGTCCCCATGGTAAAACTTACACAAACGGTCCACAGATTGTCCTAGCCTGCAATGCCCAGTGAGGAGAAAAAGCAGCAATTTGGGCCCCCATCTTTTAGATGCCAGCAGCTCATTGGCCCTTCTGAGATACAGACCAGAACAGCCTTAGTGTGTGCATGCAAATGTGTTCACATTGTATTTTAGAATTTAATAATTTGAGATTAATTCAGTTTGTTATACATATTAAATTTTTTAAGAAATATTAATTTCTCATTGCAAACTAATTCTTTAAAATTAAAAGTGTTAACAAATTCGAACATAAAAACTTGTTGTAAATATTATGTATTTGTTTTTGCGCCCTTTGTGGATACATTTTAGGTTACGATATGTATCCAAGAATATAAATTTTTATTACATACTTATACTGTTAACCTAGTAAGGGTTTCATTTCCGTTAACAGAAATTTCTATTGAAATAAAGATTGCCAAACTATAATTCCATCTATTTTTCATAATGTTGCTTTATATATGAACACTTTAATCTATAACAGAATTTTTAACCTTTATTTTAACATTAATAGCAATAAAAGAAGAAAGCAAAAGCCTAGCCGCATTCTAATTTCGCTTTCTCCTTCTACGAGTTTTGTTTCTTGTTTCTCTTTTGTGTCTCATTTTTGCACATTTTTGCACTCTAACTTTTTGTTTTTAAAAAAATTTCTCCAATACATTTAATGTCGTCTCTTCAGTTAAAGCCTGTCTCTTTCATTTTCAAGTTTTTTTTAAGATTTTTTTCTCTGTTGTTTGTTCAATAGAAAATTACATGAAAATGAATCCATTATCATTCCAATAAACACCATTAGAATTTATGTACCTATTTAAGAATTTAGTGAGGTTAAAAAATACTAGCTAATTTTTTGTCACAAATTGAAGTTCCATCATCTTGAAAAATTGACTTGTACATTCCTGTCGAATTTCTAGTACACCTATTTGTATATCTATAAAGCAGCTGATATTTTAAAAATTGTCTTAGTTTTCAATTTTTACATTTTTACAAATATTTTCTTGTATTCACTTATTTTTCTGGAAATTCTAAAAATTACATTCATAAATTAGTAATCATATCTGCTATATTAATTAGAAGAATTAATTACTAGACTTCTGTACAAAAATATACTGAAGAAAATTTAGCAAGAGCTAGACCATCACAACAACTTTGAATGCGTAACTTTTGTGATTGACGATATTGAGATATGAACATTGAAATCAAATTTACTGAAACTGCTTTTCAATATGATAGCTAGATCAAACATTGTTAATGATTTTTTATATTTTTCAAACGAATATCGTACTAAATAATTTTATTTCAAAGTTCCCAATGTTTCTGTTATGGTATAATAGGAAACGGTATGTTGCTTCTTTTCTTCCTTTTTAAGATAAATTACCTTCATTTTTATTGTATTTGAAAATGATGTTGCTTTTCAATAATAAAGCGAAAATAAGAAAAAAATATGTCAAAGGGAAAGTTAAAAGTCATGTTATTTAAAATTTCAAAAGGAGGATTTTTTTTCTCTTAAAGCTGAGAGGAAGAAAATTCAAAGGATTTTTATAAATGACAATTAAACATCAATCCAAATATGAAAATTTAAAGAATCCTCAAAATTGTTTATAAAAATTCGGCATTATTATTCATGTGTGTATTTTTTATGTTAACAGTAAATATGAAAATTAAATTGTACTCAGCTGCTTAGCAAATTTATAAAATTGAATTTGTTTAATTAATTATTAGAGAATATTTTGCATACAACAAGACATTTTGCAATTTTCCGAGTTTTCAATATAGAAATAAAATTTTTTCATGTAAGAGAAAGGCAAATAAATGTTATTTAACAAAGCTGCTAGTCTTTCCGGCTCTAAAAAACTTCACAAATTCTTAATTAATTGCCCATCTTTTAGTTGATCTAGAAACATTATTGAAAGATATTGCATCGAATTTTTTTTAAAATATTTAAATGTAAATTCCGACTAAACCAAAAGATATTTTAATTTGCTAAAAGAGCGTTTTTAAACCAAGTTAACCTGTTTAATATAATTATTGAAATTTCCATTGTGTAACAAATATGAATGCACACAAACTGCTCATCTCTCTTAATTTTAATGGTGTCAAGTACGAACGCATAAATTATTATTAAATCAACTAAATAAACTTAAATAAATAAAAAGGAAACAACAGTTTTTCCCAACAAAATAGTTCTTTTATTTATTTGAAATTAAAATTCAAAATAAAATTTCAATTTAATTATTATGAAGAACAAAATTAAATAATAATAATGTAATTACATTCTCTTGATTCCAGTTTGAAAGTAATTATAAAGAATTTAATTCAAATATCCAAAGTAATTCAAAATGAAAATGAATTTCTTGTTAGCGGTCCACAATAATGTTAGTTATTTAAAAAATATGTTAAAAAAATGTTAATAAATCAAAAAGGATTAAATGTTTTAAGCATAACCATTGTGCTTATTAATCAGATTATAGTAATACACAGCAGAAAATTTTTGTAACTACACGATGAAGTACTTGTTTTGAGTAGCGCTAATGAATATTACGTTTTTTACTTTAAAATAGCACTAATCAAAAAGAAGTTGTTCTATTGTGTCCTTTGCATTATTTAGAAACGTCTTCTGTACATCACTGTAAACTATGTTAGATACATAATGACATAACCAAATTATTATTACACTAGATAAATATGAATAAAATATAATACAAAATTATATTGCAGCCACTTTCAATCATGTGAATGTAAATTTTTAGTTAGAAACCGGGAAAACTAATTTAAAATTAAAATAAATAAATTTGCATATATTTAGGGGCATAAATGATTTCTTTAATAACCTGGATTACAAGAGGAAACTAAGTGAAAGCACTAATTAAATACAATCGGTATTCTAATTTTTCATTTCAATATCAAGAGTCAAGAATTGTTTTTAACAAGAGAACAAAAATTACTAAAAGAATAAATCCTTGGACAATGACTAGTCGGCTTAACCGCTCGATTTATTTAAAATTTACATATAGGTTCCACAGAATTTTATTTTTGAAAATATTTTGAATTTGAAGTGTTCGTAATTATGATGTTTTTTTCTTTTGAAATTTATTCAACTTTAAAAAGTTAAATTAACTTTTTTTTTCTTAATTTTTTGTTATAAAGAAAAAAATATTTTCATTTTAATTTCTATTTCTTTATTTTCTCAACACTTTAAGGTTCATGTAACATCTTGAGAGTTAAAATTGCATTTTTTTATTAACTATTTCCAAAAGAAAGGCATAAATGCAAAAAAAACTAAAAAAATATTTTTCCTTTTTGTATTTCGAAATATTTTTAATAAAGTTTGCGAGTTGCTATGAAAAGAAATTAATTTTTAAAAGGCACATATGTAATTACGGCACTTCACATACAAATTTTTGTGTTACACATAAACCAACACTCTCATGTACATATTTTAAGTGTATGTTTTCTGTGAAATTTTTAATTTACATAAATTCTTCTCCATAAGGCATATACAAGCGAGATCAAGTCTTAATGTTTATTTCATTTTATTCCTTTCTATTAAATTGGTAGTTGTACAATATTATTCTTGCCATACAAACTATAGGAGCTGAGGTTAATTAAAATGTTTCTGTTGATAAATATAGAGTAATACATTCTATGCATTTCAGAATGGAATTTGTAAATTAAGAAAATTGCTATAGGCCCGCCAATAAATATGCAATAAATATTTTACTAATTAATTTTGATTTAATATTAAAGTGTGGGTACTTTAGGCGTTTAAATTGGAAAAGTCATTACGTTGGTGAGCTCAATTTACACGGAATTTGGTTTTTAGAGTCAAGATGTGTAAAAAGTGAGGAAGTCTATATGTTAATAAGGTTATTATTTTTCGTATTATGCAATGTATATTGGGTAATTATACTTACAAAATCCTGATAAATTTAATCTTAATCCACAGAAACAGTTGTAACAAAATTTGAAATTTTCGTTGATATAATGCCTATCATATTTTTAAAGAAAATTAATAGACATTATTAAACTATCAGTTTATCTATAAAAATGTAGTGTTAATATTTGGTGAATATTCAGTTTGCGAGTTTTCTGGTAAAACAAAATTTAAGTAAGAAGTTATAAGAAAATTCTTTGACTATCGCCTAAAATATTTGTGAAATATTTAAAATTGTTGCTGGGATGTGGTAAAACCAAAAAATTTAATAGAAGAAAATTAAGATCCTCGAGCGAATAATATTTGTTATTTAAATTAATAACATAGAAAGCGGTTAGACGTTCAAATCCATTGAAAGCTCAACACGATAAATTCTAGGACGACTGCAATACCTCGCTTGCTGTACACAGTGCGATCAGTTAAAATTAAATAACTTAACAATATTGATTATTTTACATAACAAATTAATATCTTCAATAATATTAAGGCTGAATACCTGTTCAGCTCGTAATCAAAATAATGATTTAAAATATAAATGAAGACATTTAAATTTAAATGAAAAATCTCTTTATTTTCTTGAAAATATTTCCAAATATTCAAGGTGAGAATAATGATAATAGTTATACAAGAATACTGTCTTATAGATTAGGATTGTTTCAATGCTCTTTTCAAAAATGCGATTGAGAACAATTGAGACGAAAATATTAACATTTAAACAATAAAATTGTTTGTTTAGACTTATTGGATAAAGAAATATTGTGGAATTTTCAATTTTTCTTCTTCACTCTTTCGAAATTTCAAAAATACAAGAACATTTTAACTAATGGTGGTAGTATAGGGTAATGTTAGTGCAACATTAACAGCATGAAAATGAAAACTTGAGATAAATAACAATGCTTTTAAAATTTTTATTCTGAATTATAGTTATTCTTTCTGCAAAAATATTAAGTATAAAGATAGTAAAATCCTTTTTTGTTATTATTGTTCACATTTCATAAAAGTGTGCATATGTGTGTGTCTGATAAAAATTTAGACGAGAAGGATTATTTAGAATGATAAATAGAAAATAATGAAATTTTGACAGTTATAAGTTGTTTGTTTTTAAGTTTTAATTT